CTGTTATGCTAGATTAAGCTTTATAATAAAACTTTAGTTATAAAAGAAGATTTAGGGATGTTAATTATATTAATCTAGACTATCTAGGATATTATTGTATTAGCTAGGTTAACTGTATTATACATTAATGTATAGAATATTTTGACGACAAAAGGAAGCACGATACCTTTCCTATTAGGATCCTATTTCTTCCTGTCACCTATATACACTCTTGCATGCGCTTTTTATTATAGGACGTTAAGTAGAGGTTTAGATCCTTTAAGGTAGTTGTTCTAGGAGAAGGAGAATGCGCAAAACTAAATAAGTTTACAGAAGCCTGTGAAGAAGCCTTTTGTGAATATTATAAAGCTTGAAAACTCTTTATATGGCATAAGAGAGAAGACACCTAAGAAGAATGCAATAAAACTGATTTTTTTAACTGTAAAAATCTAAAATGTGTACGATATGTGGAAATTAAGATTTTAAACTGGCATAATTTAAAAAACGTAGATGGTCTTCTGTAAGAGGGCAATAGGAAGACTTAAAATATATTATGTTTTTTAAACTAGATGATGAATATAATAGTGAGGAAGAAGAAAAAAGAATATTTAAAAAAATGTTGTATGATGTATTTTTAGATGGGGAGTCTCTTATAGTCTTAATAGACAGTGGGTTGTAATGTAACTATATGTCTGCTATAACTGTAATATGCCTGCAGTTGCTAGCATATGAGAAAAAGAGAAAGTATTAGTTATGATATGCAGAGGGAGCGCACTTCCTTTATGATAACGGATGGATTAAACAATAGACTGATTATCTGTTAATAAATATTGAAAATTGCATTACTAGAACTATATGTAATATAGCTAATATCCTATAATATGACCTTGTTCTAGGGATACCTTGGTTAAGTAAATATAATCCTGATATAGACTGGGAAACTGGCTAGATTTATTAGTGAAATAATAAAATCCTAGAAGAAAGGAAATCAGGTAGCTAGAAGCCTAAGATTTTCCTTAAGCCTACTATAATACCTCTTTAATATGTTAAGAAAAGAAGGAAGATATTAGAATAAAGAATGCAAAAATATATTGCTATTTTATGCCGAGAACTAATACTACTGGACTAAGAACTTAAGAAAATTAAACAATCTGATGATTTACTAGTATGAGTTTTAAAATAATATAGGAAGTATAGAAAACTCTTTAAAGAATAATTAGAAGAAGGACTTCTACTATATTTAAAATGGGACTATAAGATAGTCCTAAAAGATGGAGCCTCTTTAAAGTTTTACAAGATTTATAATCTTAGTGAAATAGAACTTAAAACCCTTAAAGAATGGATTGAAGTATAACTTAAAAAGGGATACATCTAAATCTCTAAATCTCCAGTTGGATACTCTATTATCTTTATACTAAAGAAAAATAGTAAACTATGGTTAGTTATTGATTATAGGGAGTTAAATAAAATAATTATTAAAGATAAAACCCTGCTACCCTTGATTTTATAAATTAAGAATAGACTGCATGGGAAAAAATAGTTTATAACTCTTAACCTTACAGGAGCTTATAAGCTCACTAGAATAAAGGAAGGACATGAATGGATGACTGCATTTGCAATAAGATATAGATTATATAAATATGTTATTATGCTATAGGGACTTATAAATGCACCTGCATCCTTTTAGAAAAGAATAAACCACATGCTTAAATTATACTTGAATGATTTTATAATTGTATATATCGACAATATTTTAATCTTTTTAGACACCTTTAAAGAACATAAAAAATACATCTATCTTATACTGCAAAAGCTTAAAGAAAATAAACTCTTTATTAACCTTGAAAAATGTATATTTTATTCTTAGAAAGTTAACTTTTTAGGATATGTTATTATACCTAAAGAAATTTATATAAACCTTAATAAAGTTAAAGTAATTGATGAGTGGCCAGTACTGACTATGCTTAAAGAATTACAAGTGTTTCTTAGACTTGTAAATTACTACTGAAAATTTATTAAGGACTTTTTGCTAAAAGCAATCTTGTTTATTAATATAACTAAAAAGGATAAATCTTTTAAATGGGGGGAGGAATAGTAAAAAGCCTTTGAAGAATTTAAAAAGGCTATTACTTTAAAGATAATTCTCGCTATATTTAACCTAAAGAAACCTATTATAATTAAGACCGATGCGTTGAATTTTGCAATTGAAGGGGTTTTAAGTTAATTAGGCGATGACAGCAAACTTAGACCTGTTGTATTCTTTTTACATAAACTTAATAGACTAGTGCTATAATATCCTACCTATAATAAAGAAATATATGCTATATTGCAAGCATTTAAAGAATAGAGATATTATTACTATGAAAGTAAATATAAGATCACTGTCTACATTAATTATAAGAATATTTTATACTTTACTATTACTAGAGAGCTCTCCAGCCGATAAGTTAAATACTTTAAATTCCTGTTATAATTTAATTATAAACTTATTTATTGTAAAGGCATAGAAAATGGAAGAGCTAATGCATTAAGCAGAAGAAGTAACTATAAATAAGATATACTGGAATTTATGGCATAAGCATTATGCTATAACGATAAAAGAAATATTAAGCAAGTATATATTTATGCAATATTTAAAGTACTTAAAGAAGACCTAATGCTTGATAAAATTAAAGAATATATAAAAAATTATAAGAATGAGGAATATTTAGAAAGAGTAATTATAGAAGAAGGATACCCTGAATGTAAAGGAAAGATTTAGGTACCTGAAGAGTTAAGAAGGGATGTAGTAAAATATATTTATAAGCACCTGCTGCATGGATATAAAGGGATATGGAAAATATATAATTAAGTCCTTATATATTATAAAGTGATTGGACTTAAAGCATATATTTAATATGTTGTATTATACTGCAGTGTATGCTAATAGATGAAAGATGGAAGATATAAACTATATAGGAAACTATAACTGCTGCTAGTAGCAGAATGACTATGGGAATTAGTGATATTTAATTACATCACTGACCTACCCCTCTCTACTGAACCCTTTATAAAGGTAAAATATAATAGTATTTTTATGGTAGTCTGTTGCTTTTTAAAAGAAGTATATTTCTTGCTGCACAATAAATTACATACGGTAGAAGACCTTGCTTATACCTATATAAGAATGATTGCTGTAAATCATGGACTACTGAAAGAAATAATATTAGATAGAGGATGAACATTTGCCTTTAAATTTTAGCAGGAACTTATGGCTAAATTAGGAATAAACTATAAATTAAGTACTGCATACTACCCTTAAATAGATGGATAAATAGAATGCATTAATTAAATTATTGAAGTATACTTGAGATGCTATATTAACTTTATACAAGACGATTGGGTAGAAAAATTACTAGTGGTATAATACTGTTATAACAGCATACCTTTAGAATCTATAGAAATTATACTATTTTATGTAAACTATAGATTTACACTAGAAGCATTTAGACCACTATGAGAAAGACTTAACTTTGAAAAAGCAAGACTGCAAGCAGAATTAATAATTGATTTGCATAAAGAAATGTGCATGTAATTTAAATTTATTTAAGATAGAATGAGGAAATATATAGACTAAGATAGAATTGTAAGACTAATTCTTTAGAAGGGAGATATGGTTTATTTATTATAGTACTTATGAGGCTATAAATTGCTAAATATTAAGACTAATAGGCCAAGTGATAAGTTAGACGTTAGAAAAATAGGACCTTATGAAATCCTTAAATAAATTGGAGAAGTTAATTATAAGCTAGCGTTGCCAGATATAATAAAGCTTTGAAGCCTAGTGTTTTATATATTATAACTGGAAAAAGCATAAGTTAATGAACTTACAGGAAGACTTATTTTAGATAAAATTATTGTTGAAGATAAAGAAGAAGAATATAAAATTAAAGAAGTACTTGCTATACGCTAGAACTCTAAGACTAATGAAATAGAGTACTTTATTAAATAGAAAGGATATTTAGAATTAGAAAACTTATGGGAATTAAAAGAATACTTTAACTTCTATGAGCTAATAAAGAAGTTCCTTTAGTCTGTAAGGTTGATGGATTAAAATCAGCCAGTATAGCGTTTTAATTAATTACGTTAACACCCCCGCTAAGCTAAACATTAATCACTACCTCTGACTCAGCATGCTCTGCTTTATTTAATTTATTAAGACTCTTTAGGCTGTGATTTACTATCTCCGCCCCTTGAGTTACTAAAGATTTGCGTTAAGAATAGATATGCAATAACCAAGATAAGGCTTTAGCAGCTTTTTGCTAATATTCAGCAAGCTGCTTAGCAGCCTCCTTTTCTTCTAAATGCAATTGTTTATGCTTAGAAGTTATGCGATTTACTATATTGTTAGAACAATAAGATACTGTTATGCTGTCCGAATTATAGGCACTGCTTATTAAGATGCATTGCTGCTTTTACATATGCCAGCTCAGGCGCTGCTCATGAACTACTCACCCCAAGCCTTAGTACATCAGGAATTGCTCAGTCTACTATAAATAAAAAGGGGTGTAAATAGTAAAGCAAGAGGCTATGCTTATTAAACCTATTCTATCACATCCTCTAACTTACTATTTAAACTATAATTACCCTTTACCATCCGCTGCAGAGCTTGGTATCCTTTAATTCCAATGTTACTTAATATTACTTAAATATAAAGACTATTGTTTTTGACATTTTGTATTATTGAAATCTACCAAGCAAGTTCTTCTTCTGGCTAAAAATGAAGAAACCACCTACCGACTACGACCTTATCGCGAAGGCAATGCAGGATGGACTACCTGCAGATGCTTCACAAGAGAGCCCTAATATAGTACGAAGAAATATTCTGCCGAGTACTAAAAGTCAATATGATAGAATGATGAAGTGGTTCGATGCGTTAGTTCTCAATGTTTAATTTTATCTATTCTAATCCTTTTCCAAAAATTGTGTTCTTACTGGTCTTTAGATACCTTCTACACAACCCTTCATTTAATAAAGATTCAATGGAAGAAGTAAAGCATATGGTTCGAACTGTGGCCGTAACTACTAAAGGTCCGTGGGACGGAGAAAAGCAAAAAAGACTAACACCAACTACTACAACTGTAAGAGTTAAATCGCGAAAACTCCTTAACAGTTATGAACGTAAATATAATACGGAGATTCCTCGGGGTATTAAAGATTCTATGGCGCCTGTAAGTTATTTCAATACAGAGAAGACTTTGGGTCATTTGAAAGATTTTATCGCTCATTATATCAGTGGATTGAAGGCGAATTAGCTAAAGAATTGAAACTTCGCAAAGGCAAGGATGGTCATAAAGACCGCAAATTCTTTACTATCGAGAACTATGTCCAAATGCAAAGCTTTCACTGGAGCGAGGATTTCCATGACTACATTCACGAAGGAATGAGGGCCGATTACACGAACTTGTTAAACACTCATTGTTACACGTCTGCAAGGCTACGAGAAGTATGTCAAGCGGTTTACGGGGTAATGCATATCGCTTAGGTGGTGTGTATTCATCGGCTAATGTTAAGTAGGATCTTGAGGTCATTTTAGCGTCGAAGGATGGGATACCGGAATTTCGTCTCAAATTTGCGAAACGGATTTGCAAAGGCACAGAAAAAAACCAGTGAGCTGCAGCCCCTCCTATCCCCCCCACACCCAAAACCCCGTGGCGTGCTCTTTTTTAGGTCCAAATGAAGACTAATGGAATCGTAGGCCTGAATATCCATTTGCAGAAGTGCTTACTGACAAAGACGACAATTATCCGCCACTCTTTGCCCAGCCCATGTTTCATATGCTAGCCAATATGATCTCATCCGAAGTTTACCCCGAATTATCCACAGTAGAGATGGCTCTAGATTTAAAGCCGCCCAAAAATGGCCCTAGCTTTCGGGTTATAGCACCGACAAAAGGGCGCATTGAAACACCAGTATTTCCAGCATGGAGCTCTTGTGGTCCAACAAACGACACGAAAGACCCAACCAGTTGGGGAAGACAGGCATCTGATTGGGCCATTCGTGCAGGCCTCGCTGAAGGTATGGGTTTGCATGCGGTTCGCCGGGAAGCGCTCATTAAGGCCAATGGTAAGAATCAGGCTATAGGGCAATAAAAAGCTGCAGTTAGCGCTAACTAAACACCTAAAGATCACGGTTATAGTTTAGGCCAAGTACTCAAGTTCGCGTCTCAAAACAATCCGAATGTACTCATTCAGAGCTACCTCGGTAATATACCGACAGTTGACGGTGCGGCCAATTACCTTGGCTTGAAACACCGCACAGATCTGGCGGAAGCCTTTCGCTCAAAGACTATGAAGTGGAACCCGGCACTTTATCAGTCAATCCCAATGAGAGACCTGAAGGATCTCCAAAGCAGCCAACAATATAGGGAGATTGAAAGCAGGATCGCAGAGATCGAATCTGCACTGAAGAAATTAATTCCTGAAGATAAAAAGGACCAGATACGCCAGGAGACAGAAGAGCAAGAGAAGATACGAGAGCTGAAGGGGCAAAAGCTGATAGAGCAAGAGAAGATACGAGCGCTGAAGAAGCAAAAGCTGAAAGATTTACAAGCCTCTCAACCAATTGTTTACGAAACTGAGGAATGCCCACACAAACAATGGGACTGGCGCCAAAGCAAGTTTCAACGCTTCAAGCATATGCTATCAGAACAGCGTATTCGCCTTATCGATGTTATGAAAAAGCCTTTAGTTCCGCGGAGTGAGGAATGGGTTTCTGCCCTGCGAGATCTTGTGACGCTCCGTAAAACTTCTTCACAACTGGCTTTTCAAGATGGGTTGAGGCCCAACGATGGCGGCTGCCCTTCGTGTGAAAAGTCCATGAATGAGTACGTCAGAGCTGCTTCTTCCGGTGCTAACAGGTAGAATGCTAATGCCATATTGATTAGATTTCGTCCAACGGCTCAATGGAGGCATATTTACGCCTGTTGCAAGGAAAAGCATTCAAAAGAGTCCGGATTCGCTCAATTTTGTTTTCTTTGCAACATATGGGTGACAAGCGAAGAAGGCTGGGAAACTCATTGTCAACAACATTTTAAAGCTGGCAACATCCCCTTCCGATGTGATCCGCTTACCTTTCGTCATGGAACTGCCTGCGCTGGATACTGCCCTGTCCACCTCACCAATACCGACCTTCCTGCCCACAAGCGTTTGCAGCAGTACATTACCCGCCAAGACTGGTTGTGTCATATTTCCAGATGCCTCACACAATACGTTGCCATGCCTCAAAATGATACAGGAACTTTCAAATGCCCCCACCCTCTTTGCGACCCTGTATGTTATTATTCGAGAGAGGATCTTATTGACCATCTTAGTGAGATTCACAGTATTCCTACGGACATGGAATGGACAGATAGCAACAGCCAGAAGTCCCGCAAGCGCAAACGCACTGAAGACCCATTTAGAATTGAAACTCCCTTCGATCTCTCGTCCCTATCGACGTCTCCCGCCAAGAATGCCGACGAATTTTCTGCCGTGGAACGGATAGCTCAGCTATCCAAGAGCTCTCTCTCTGAAGATGTCACTATGGCCGATAGCAGCCTGGTTTGCGCGACATGGGAGAACCCTAAGGCCGACATAAAGGATGTGATAGTCGATCCAAAGTTATATGAAGTTACGAAAAGCGACGCATTAGCAGCCGAGGTATCAGAGACGCATATTAATGACACGAATAGCCATAAAGCATCGCTACCAGATGACGACTATGACGCTCACAGTCTCCTTGCTAAATACGGGTATCAACACAAACGTCGCAAAATTATGCTGTATCTTGTGAAGTGGAATGACGGATCAACGACCTGGGAGCCGGAAGAATCGATTTCAAAACACAGTCTCATTGATGAGCTGAATATAGGATACAAGGGGTTTAACAACGGGATCAAAGTGATTAAAAGTCGGATCAAGAGTAAGAAAACTCAGTATCGTGTACAGTTTTTGAATTATGCGGGAGTTGAGGCAGATGAATTTTGGTGGGTTCATGAGGAGGATTTGGACCCAGAGGCAATACAAAGATATAAAGCTGAAGAGGGGGGAAAGAAGGCATCGTAGGCATTAGACCTGGCGGGTTTGTATAGTTGGTCTTCAGCTTCAATTTTGTTGCTATGTGATTGTTGTAAAGAAATATGAATTTCATAATATATAATGTAGCAAATAGTTTCACATTGATTCAGTATATTAATATAATTATATTTGTTTATTTAGAATTGAAACCGTTGAATAAATAAGGATTAATTTATTATTGATTGTATATATCTTCTTATCTCATAGTCATACTTACTTATAGTCCATATGCGCGGAAACAAAGTCAGAAGATGGGTATGCACCATGAACTTTTGAATTGGCATCTAAACGCAATATGGCGGAATATGAATGTTTTACTCTCTCAATGCTTGAACATATAATCCTACTAGCTTATTATTTAGCACTATATGACAGCTAATGAGGAATCTTCTCGCAAGGTAAAGATACAGTGAGCTAATATGCGAAATCAGGAGCTGATTAAATAAAGTCATGCCATAAAGCCCTTAGTAATTACTCGGTTACACATGCACGTTGCCGAATTTCTTCCAATGCAGGCAACGCCGTATCAGCCACAGCAAATAAACTAGAGACTATTCCCTGAAAATGCAATACCAGATTTTGACTCTCTTGTAGTTGCTCCTCAAGCCATCTTTGACGATCTTTTAACCGCTGGTTATCCTCCTCTGCCAGCTGTCGACGTTTGGATTCCATGTCTAATTCAGCTGTTGCCTGATGAAGTTGAAATGCTAGATCATCATTATTGAGCTTCAGGTGATCAATAAGCGCAGTAAAACTGCTTTCAGGGGTTGAAAGCTACATGGGATTCAATATTACTAAGATACTGAGGCTGTTTAAAATTGTCAACACATACCGGAGTCAATGCGCTTAAGCAGTCAGATGCGTTTGTATTTATCACAGCTTCAAATGTCTTACCAACTTCATCTATGAGCAGTCTGTAGGTGCCAATTGAATGCTCGCTTAAGTTTTTAGAGAAGATTTGTGAGAAAAATTCTTCTTTGCCGCAAAGCACTCTCCAAGAATATGGATCTTTTCTTTTTGGATTTGTCCTCACGTCGGAAGGGTGTACCTCAATGCCAAGCTTCTGATCTGGTAATGTTAGCATATTGTGCGCGACTAAGGTAAGGATATCTTACATATATGCTTTGAAAATGTTTCCCGGCATAGGTCTCTTGCACGGCGACGTTCTAAGTTACTGCGGCGAGCTATGGACATAATGTTAGAGAATAATCATACGTAAAGAATATAAAACGTGTAAGTGCATAAGTATGCAGCACTATACTATAGTGTTCGCTCCTTTTGTTTAGGTGACATGAAGCCTATTCAATTTTCTGGCAAGTGCAGTGTAAGTACAGATATCCAACACCCAGAAGGGAAACAATTAGACATTTCTTCTGGGTCTTTAAAATGTCCAAAAGTAGGCTAGAGCCGCCATCAGCCTCTAATTTTGTGCGCTTAGGGGCGTTTGCGTAACTGATCAGACGCTTCTGGGGGACGCTAGTGTGCCATGTCTGTGCACTTTCGGATCCCTTTTGCAGTTAATTAATAGTAGCAAAAATGGACATCTTCACAGCAGGGGGTATATGTAGTGAATATATATCTGCACGCCCTACAGTAAAAGGCGAAATAAATGTCGCGAATCTATACTTAATTATAATAAGCCAGCATTTAATACAACTGTAGCTGGTTTAGTACAGCGCTAGGGCGCGCCCCAGGCATTATATTGCTAAAGTACTAGAAGTATTTAAAATATTAACCTAAAGCTAAAACAGAATGTATTTATTAATAAATATCTAAAAAGTAATTTTTTTCCCCACTAGTTATTATTTTGCAGATTATACTAGTACTTATAAAGTATAAAAATAACAGGTGTATTAAGCTATAATTTAATTAAAATGGACCCTTTTTATAATCTTTATATAGTTAATTTACAACACCCATTTCGCCTTTAACTGTACCCACCAACATCTTGAAAGGTTGATGAGGCACTTGATAACGTCAGCAAAGTCTATTTCCGGTCATAGAAATGCCATACTGCCGATTAGTTGCTTTTTATGCTTTTAAAAAGCGTTTCTCCTTTTTACTAAAGGATAAAGTACTATATTAATATGTACAGTGAATAGCGGAATTATGTATATTAAAAGGCGAAATGAGTGTTGCGAACCTATACTGTCAAAGGCGAAATGAGTGTCCCTTTTTTGTGAAGTAAGAATAATAATAGACGCCAATTTTAGGCCTATATGTGGCTGTGCGCGACTGCGGACATATACCACGGAAGTCCTGCGTTAGGTACTGTATTAGTATTATCACGTTCTGTTATACTCTAATAAAATAATAATGTCCATTTCTGGACGTTATAATATTATAATATTGCGCATCCACCCCTAATCCTAGTACAGTAGAAGGCGGAATTAGTGTCCCTAAACCTTTTGGTTAATTATTTTAGGAGGGGCAGCTTAGACCATAAGAGGCCAGCAGGCAGCACTAATTATGTACCTCAATGTACCTCCCTAAAATAGCATAACAAGGGACAAAGAGCCGATTCTTATTCATCCTCGTACAGTTACTAACCTGTATGTAATCTCAAAAAGGTATTACAGTAGTCTTTCGTTTATAAACCACACATAGCAATAACAACAGCTTCAGATCCTTCCTCGCCATTCACGTCGCCAATATATCCAAGTTTTCCTTTTCCAACAGAAGCCAATAAAACGGGGCTTTCGCCAGTGACGTGTGCATCTTTTGCTTGAAAAGCCAAAGACTCAGTAACGGCATTTTCATTTGTCACATACCAAGCATCCGAAGTCTTTGCATTTTTGAGGAATACGGCCTTTTGGCTGTACTCCGGGAGAAGTTTCGAAGCCAAGTGAATCCCAACTGCTTGAGGATTTAGAACAAGCGTCGTCCGATGGTATGAGCCTTGTTCCCATTCCAAGCCCGCTTTAGCAAAGAAAGGTTTGATGCTTAATGGTTCGACGAAAGATGAAAAATTGCCCATAACCACGGCTGTGCCACCTTGTTTTATATACTTCAATACTGCCTCCCAAACAGGTGCATTTTCCCTTAAGGTAAGAGCTTCGTCGGTAATAAGAATAGCGTGTGGTGGTGGACCTTCCAAGAGCACACGTTTGGCAGATTCTCCATCCTCCACGCGCTGGAATACTGAGCCGGTTCGTATTTTGGTGAGCAGCGAGCCGTACATCGAATCGAAAAAAGATTGATGATTAAGGGAGATTGAGAGAACTCGGGGCTTCGCGTTTTCGGCCATTTCATCGGCTCCAAATTCTTTATCAAGAGCCTCATTTGCGAGCACATCAGCTTCCTTGTTCTCCTCTCGTGGGACCTGCCAGAACTTGAACTCCATGCCCCCGTTGTCTCCATATGTCATATCATTAAAGCGGTCATTAATCTTCTTCAAGATGTCAAAATGAGCCGCCTTTTTCCCCTTTGAATTTTTTCCACCATTTTTTATCCAAGTCTGGATCCGCTCTGAAAATGTCTGGACAAGATACGACGAGTCTGTTATAATATGATAGCGCTGCAGTGAAAAGTCTTTGGAAATATCTTTATAGATGATTTCTAACGCTTGCGATAGAGCTTCGATTTCGGCTCGGGTACTCGTTTGCGGAAAAGTAGGGTTTAAGGTTCCATTTGAATTGTACGTAGATTGAGGTCCGAAGTAAACACCCCAGGCGGCCCGAGCCAAGGATGTTCCGTTGCCGCGACAAGCTCCGTCAATGGACACGACAACGGTGTGCCTATCTATGCTTATCTGATTTGTGAGAGGATTCATCTCCCGAAGCTGTTGGACCCTTTTGGTGGAATTGTAGACAATGAGTTGGTCGGCAGGAATCCGGCGGTGAGTAGGACTGTTTCGCGGATCAAATATGCGCTCGAATTCCTCGCCATACTCGCTCCCATACAGCCCGCCGTATTGAATGAAAGAAGATGTCATTGTATATTGCTCGGATTCGCGAAATGTTTGATAGAAGGCGTTGAGCGATGGGGAGTCTGGATTTATTTGGACAGCTTTTAATTGCTCATACTGAGGGAAATGACTAATTCGGTTACAGCTGATTCGTCGCAGTGCCAACCCTTTTCTGTTCACGTGCGCATGCATAGGTAGCAAGTTCTAGGACGCCCTTCGTTGGGCTCTACTATGAATCCAATAAACATCGCACTCTCTATTATGTTACCGGTAACATCTATGAGAATTGCTGTTAATTTAATATCTAGAATTAATACATAGAATAGTACTAAAATATGTATCCTACATCATTACTACCAGGGCCATTACCAGCTATTGATTGTCCCATACATCTAAATGCTCCACTTTACAAGCACATCGTAAAGAAAGCATTTCTTATTAGTGGTGATCTGTTGGCTCGCTTACTGCAGTCGGTGACTGTAACAATATTCCCCTCACCTAAACTGCTTACTTAGTAAGACCGTCACCAAGCTGCGCCGGGCAACAAAAATATGCAGAGCCATGACTTCATAGCCAGACAAGAAACGCTCTCCACACAGGTGATTGAAGAGAAGAGAGAGAGGAGAGAGCAATGAGGGCAGGTAGGAATTAGGATACAGTGGGTCTTACAGCCAGTACTGGCTGCTGTTAGGCCCCGCGCCGCCAGTACCTGACTGTACAATGGATAGCAAGGAGCCACTTCTGCTGCACCGTTACTTATTTAATTAACTTGACAAAGTGCGACGCTAATTTCGCCTTTCACTGTATAGGTGGGTGTATTACTGTACTTAAATTATAATAAGTAAGCATTTAATACAGTGAAAGGCGGAAGTAGTGTCCCTAAACTTTTTAGTTAATTATTTTAGGAGGGGTAGCATTAGTCTACAAGAGGCCACCAGGCAGCATTTAATATATACCTTAATGTACCCCCTTAATAAATATAATAAAGGATAAAGAGCTGATTCTTGCTGAATTAGGCTACAGTAGGTCTCATAGCCAGTACTGGCCGCTGCTAGGCCCCGCGGCGCCAGTACCTAGCTGTACAATAGATAGCAAGAAGCCACTTTTACCGTAAAGTTCGAAATGGGTGTCGCGGGTTTTCTTAGTTAATTTAGTAACAACGAGACGGCTATTTGTGGACTTGTACCTCTTAAGTTTCCAGGTGTACCCCGCAGGTACTGCGGGGCACTGTAACAAGACTAGGGCAGGCTCCCGCCGCCAGCACTGGTGAACCCCCTGTGTTCCATATCCTTCCCATTCTTTCCTTTGCTTTCTCTCTCTATAGGCAAAAAAGGCTTTCTACAAGCTAATCATAGCACCGCCCTTGGAGGCTGCAAATCGCCGTCTAATAAAAATTTTACTACCGGAGACGCTTTTAGTTGCGTTTATTTTAGTCACTTGTGGGGATCTATGTGCTGTGTCAAAGTACAGTATGCATGTACTACAGTATTATTTGAATTCCTACCACAAACAAACAGCCAATTCCGGCTCATCACAGGTCCAAATTCATAATCACGTGCGTGTCAGCTCACAAGTCGCAGTACTTTTAGAAGATGCCAGAAAGTTTATGTCGCACACTCACAAAATACTATAAATTAACATAGTCTCCTACGACCTTCACTTTGCAAAGTTATAAAAAAACGAGAGAGAGAGAGAGAAAGCTGTGTCACTCAGAGAGATTATAACAGGGAATATGGCCCCGAACCCGACATCCTAAATACCACCACTCTCCCTGAACCATTTCCTAGAGCTATAGCTACGTTTGTTAACGGCACCTGTGGCGATGTAGAAGGTGGTGCATAATGCCATACAGCCGATGTAGAGGGCTGGTAATCGGGCGGAAGCCACAATATATTATGCCCTTTCCAGGTGATCCAACACTTATTGGTGCTTAGGCCGAAGCCAAAATGGGTTGCTGTCTCAGCATCATGAGCAATGGGTCGGCGTTGATCCTGATCCTGAGCTAGATCTGAATCTGGAGACAGAACTTGAGCTACCATCGTAGATTGGGCTTTAGTTCGATGTTCTATGTCTAATTTTATAGGTCCGATCTCGGTATGCAGGCATAAGGCCGTATTGTCGAAGGATATAGTGTATATTGTAGTGTCTAACATCTCGCCCTAACATCACTTCAGAGTTGGATTAACTATAATACTGCGCGCTCTTATTCATATAGTATGCACATTGTTGACACCCTCAGCGCTCTACCTGTTAGAGCTATGGGTCGGCTTCTTCATTCTTTTTGTCCCGCAGACATCTATGTGCCAGATACGCCTGAGTTTAGCACGCCAAAGATCAAAGAATTAACGAAAGGAGCCTTCGACTTTCAAAATTTCCCGACGGTACTGACCAAATCAATGAGGCCAAACGAACGTTTAAGTCACTTGAATTACATGCAATCTGCGATCTAGCATCTCGATACAATAATGACAAAAGCTGCGGGGTTGTGAGCAAGAATAGTGGTAACTTCAACGTTTGCTTCTTTATCGAGTTCGATCATGACGGGTCCAAGCGAAGTGTTAGTCCCAATTGAAGCCGCTCAGGACAGTGCCTGGGAGAAATTGGAGAGCGAAATGGCCACTATACAGTACCTTCAACTTATTTAACGCCTTTTCTTATCGCTCACCAAGATTCAGATACCTCGAGCGCAACACCAAGATCCCCGTTCCCCACGCTCGTGCTTATGGGCCTGATGCCAAATTAGTCGAAGCTGGCTTGGGAACACAGATGTATCAAGAAAACAAAAAACACCAATATGATGGGTTAGAGCAGAAAGTAGACAAAGTAACTAGTTGTATATTGAACAACGCCTTGCACTTCGTTTCGAGATGTCGCCTGCAGTGCTTTCATAGTGATAGTCAGCCCCTTCGAGGACCTGGTATCCATTAGCAAATGGTATCTAGCAGCCAATGTGGTGTAGATGTTTCCTCTCATCATTTACAGGAGGATGCAGCTATCACAACTGAGGCAAATCACTTACCAAAAATGAAGATGTAAAAAGAGATCACTAATCATCAATATTACAAGGTCCATACAACAGATACAAATATCTCAAACAGCAAGAATACTCGATGAAAACAATTTTGCATTCTAGTCAAAGTCCTTATTCGACAGTACTCGAATCATTCAAGTCCAATTGACTGTAGTAGAGATGGAGGCTCTCCATCTATCAAAAAGGGCCTCTCTTTTTTCTCAAGAAACTTCATTTCATCAACCCAAAATAGAATTTGTTCCTGCCATTTCTGAACCAAAAGAATTTGCCGTTTTGGGGAGTCGTTTATAAAACATGATAGAAATTTCCGAATGTCCTTTATAGGGCTCACGCCGTGTTGTTCCCCGTGTATTACAGTCCAATAGCTTTCATATATATGATCTGGATGAAGTAGTGCTACAACAGTTGCAGTGTCACACGCTCCCGTCCAAATTCTCGGTGGCAATGATTGTCTCTTTAACTCGTCCTCGGCGTATCTGACCTGGCGTAGAAATTCCTCAGCTTCTTTATCGTACCACCCCAAGTCCTGAATCATGAACCCAAATCCCGCCCCAGTCAACCACGCCGGTGGCACAAGAAACTGGACGGGTGCGACAAATGACCATTCCCAATCGATCACGGCGACGAGGTTGAATTCTGAATCAAAGAGGATATTATTATCATGGAGAGTGATGTCTCCATGCGTAAGCACAAAGGGTCCATCTGAATGAATCCATTCGTCTCTAATAAAGCGATAAATGTCGTGATTAGCGTAGATCAGCGAACGACCTCCTCGAACGTCTAATCCGACATCTGGTGATTTTAGGAACTGGTTATCCGATAATCTCTTAAGAGTAGTGATGAACTCTCCTGTCGTGGAAAATGTCATCCCTGGTTGGATAATCTCCTCGGGCTGATACCCCTTCTCGTGTTGCATGGCTATATTTATACTGAGCGGCCGATTCTGAACGGTTATTCCGTTAATTTCGGATTCAGTCGGAGGCTGATTTGTGTAACTCGGCAGGCTCAAAGCTCCAATTTTTGGGAACTCAAGCCGACGAAGATGACACTGAAAAAGAGCGAGCTGGTTATAAACCTTCTTGATTATATAGTCTGGGCTTCGTCCACCTTTTTGGAACCCCAGCTCATGAAGAGGCCGTCCTTCGCAATAATTCGTTATTATAAACGGGGACTTGATGAGATTGTCACTGTTGAGGGAGTAGGCATGTATCTTGGGCACCGGAATGTACTCCTGGGCGGTGGCCATAAAACTGCTTCAGTTATTAGATCGGAAGCAAGATCGGAAACTAAGAACTTACGCCATTGTAGCTACCTCCGAACGCAACCTTTCCAAAATCCAAAAGCTGCGGTGAGGAAAGGGCACTCTTATCACCCATTTCTGTGTAGATGGCGCAGTGAACTGAATAAAAACACACAAGTTGAAGCTACCGTACTTTATGTGTTTGTCATGCCCAATAGGTTTGAAGGGTTCACACGGCAGCTCGTCAGGATGGTGAGCGGTCGCCAACTGGCAAAATAGATCTAGTTTCGATTCAATCTCTTTCACAAACGATAGTCGAAGCCGAAGCTCTTCAGTTCTAGCAGCGCTAATGTTGTCCATGTTGTTTGCAAATATTGGAAACTGCTCTTTGCATCCGTATTAGGGAGATGACGCGAACGGGATGCGCAGATGCTTGGATTCCAAATTATATGGAAATTGAATATGCAGGGCAGGTGTGCACACATGACCCCACAAGGTGTACACACCGCCTCTACATCTTGGGTGTGCACTGGCCACTGGAGCAGCACGTGACACAGGCTAAGAAATTTTCAGGCATTGAGATTAATTAATCTAAAACTTAGGCTCCGTAATCGCCAACCCTGGGCACAGCCAACTCACACTCAAGCTGACCGTTATCGAGCTATCTATCAAAACATGGTATTAATATTCCTTTATCGCAGAATGTAATGTATCACTAACGTAGTGGAAGGAGTTTGGACCTATCGAAGATTCAAAGTGGGAGAGCGGTGAGCCGGTAACAAAGCGTCGAGCAATTAGAGGAAATAATCGTCTTCTCATGTGGAAAGCATGTACGGAGGCAAAGTGGAGAAGGTACACAGAAGATAGCAGTTGGACAGAAATGCCCCTCGACCAACAGGCGAAAGTGTCACCCGAGTTCTTTGTTTATTTGCTAGGTGGCGAGGTTAGGCAATATTGAGCCAGAGCTGAGATTCTAAAGACGAGATTGTTACTGCATCGAGAGTTATTCGGAGCCGGCTGAATACGCCTGTACATATTTGCAGGCTCACCCGCCTCGTCAACTCTTCGCCTCTTCGGACTTCTAGGCCACGTTCTGGGTCTCTCGCCACAGCAGTGCGAACGGGGTCCCCAATGAAGCTGAGACCAGTTTCTTTTGCGCGGCAAAATGTGAAACTGCCCTCAATGATGACTTCTGTTCCTCCTTTTAAGATCAATTTCCACCCCTCTTTCTCATCATAGCGAATAGTCTCGCTATATAATTCATAAACAAGAGCTGGCACTACCGCTGGATAAACATCAATATCCAAATGGACTGTGGTAGCACTCCAGTGGGTTGACGTAATATGAGCGGTTGGAAAAACCCCACCATTTTTAACAATACCATCACACATCCCAGGTTTAAAAACTTGAGGAAGTAATTCTGCTAAAGGTGATGAATGTTGCCAAATATAATTGTCGATTGGATTGAAAAAGAGTTGTGATGACATTGGGAGTATGGAATTCAATTGGTGCTGTTGCTGTTGCTGTTGCTGTTGCTGTTGCTGTTGCTGTTGCTGTTGCTGTTGCTGTTGCTGTTGCTGTTGCTGTTGCTGTTTTTCTTGGCCATTCTCTTTTTCATGTTTTTTTTCTTTTTCCTTCTCCATTTCCTTTTGTTTCTGTTTTACTTCCTTTTCCTTTTGGTCTCCCCCCCCCCCCCCCCCCCTGCTTTTCCTCTTCTTTCTGATCTTCCTCCTCCCTTTGATCTTCGTCCTCCCCCTGATCTTCCTCCTGCTCTTGCTCAAAATGCTGTCGCTTATTACGATAAAATACTTCAGTTGGTGTTTTTGACCGGGAACGCTTGCGTGATGTATTTTTTGGTAATTCATTCAGGAGGTCAACAATAACTGTGTTTATATTTATTATCAGTAATTTTATTTTTATGGTTTCAAAGCTGTGTAAATTACCTTTTCTGTTTTTGCCTGCTAAATTTTTTGCCGCGAGGATATTGTATTGAAAGTTATCAAAAGAAATATGGGCAGGCTCGCTCTCTAATCTCTTCGCTAAGAGTATTGCATCGTTATCGCTTAACTTTTCAACCGCTTCCCAAACTGCCCCATCGTCTGCTAATTCCAAGATAAACCATGCGCGAAATGAGGTCCGAATTATATGCCATACTTTAGGCTCACGATCAATAATTGCTTTGAACAAGTTGTTATCAAATTTATCAGGGGCTCTTGCTCTTACAGACCCCCGATCTGCTGCAAGGAGCGGTTTGAGGCAGTCAATAATCGATTCGACTGTCATAATGGCAACAACAATGAATACAGTGAATGCAGGGATGCAACAATGCGAAGATTGGGCCAGCTAGACTGAAGTGTACAGACTCAACAAGGCCAGAGTGCGTACACAGATAGGTTGGAATAGATATTGGAGAGTGTGCACAGGTTGGGAGCGTGTGCACAGGTTAGAGACAGATAATCGTGACAATATAGAAGAAAGAGGGGCGGTGCTTAATTAACTACTTAGTAAGCAAAGAAATTGATAAATGGTGAAAGCGCGTGCGCACAGGTTGGGAGCGTGTGCACAGGTTGGGAGCGTGTGCACGGGTTGGAGCCAGATAGTCATCACAATCAACTACTTAGTAAGTACGTAAAGAAATTGCTATTTGGTGCACCGTAGGTGGGGCCGAATGTCTCCTCTAGTTGGGTTTTTGCTGTATACAGCATGAGCACAGTAACCATACCAGGATTGTTCGTTAGCTAGTATAAATCCACCAGTTCCTTCATACATCTCTTCTTCATATTTCAAACATACTTATCTCTATAAAAGTAAAGAAATACATATCAGTCACAACCTTTATTACACTTGACATTTGTTTAGCCTAACATGGACGGCGGTGACGAGGACAACGACAAAAAGTTCAGATTACAAGTTGTAGTAGGTGGTTCGAAAAGCGAACTCCAAGAACAACTAGATAAGTATCAAAAGGAAAAGGAGAAACTTGAGTATCTTCAAAAGCGATACGTGGAATACCAGGAAGAGGCAGCTCGCCTTCAACGCAATCTTACCGAATCGCAACAAGCATTGCAGCAACTCTCGTCAAGCGCGGACGCAGCGCAGGGGGCACGAGGGAAGGGAATAAACCCTGAAATAGGAACCGGAGAGTTTATCGTTCGGAAAGATGCGAAAAAAATCAATTTCGAAAAGTCGATTGAAACAATCCCAGATTCCATACTGGAGTATAAGACTAAAGCGGAGGAACTTCGGCCAGTTATCAATAATAGGGTCGAGTGGATGAAACTTCTAGACCGTGAAATTGAATTCCTCAAGAAAAATCCTTTGGCCGATATCGATAATTGGAAACCCGTGGGCGAATGGGAACGCCAGAGCCAACATGAACAGGACGACGATAATGACAGAGCTGTTGGCGCTAGTTCCAACGTTCACGGGGACGGCACTGTCGACCCCAGCCATTCACCAGAGGATTCAAACAATTAATCCTTACTCTGGGGCTTTTCAGTCTCTCCAGTTCAGGTCAACGGTTCTTACTGAGATATATATTCTGGCTCAAGTGCCGTGGGCCCTTCTGGATTAACCTATATCGACGGGGAGTAAGTCTGGGTCTGGAGGTTACGCAACACTATCATTGACAAATGATTCCAACGAAGAACGGTCATTATTATCAGGATAAGATGATCACTGCACGTCCAGTGATTATTCACTCGCTCACTGCTACCCTTGGCGATTATCACAATCCTAGTTTAGCCACTAGATAAATAAGTTCACTTCATTACGCTCTCTCAGGTAGTTTAAATAGTCAATCGCTAGCAGAGTATTAAAACCAAATACAAGCTTAGCGTTTTGTATCTCATCTGCTACTGTATATGGCATCTAGCTTTCTCCTCGGCATGAACCGATGCGAAGTATATTTTTTTTCAAAACGTGCCTTATACTTGCGAACCTGCTATGTGACTTATGAAGGGAATAAGCTAATACAAAACCCTAGCTACCCTAAGCCTAGCTACCCTAAGCATTGCCACCGCCGGCAAGACATCTATTTATTCATTGCTCTATACGCTGTGTCAATTTCGTTGATCTATCACTTTTGTTAAGATAGTTCCCTGCCCCTGACAGATGCAGCACGCGTGTAGCAGCGTAGTGAACAGCAAGGAGACTTCACGACAGCGGCTCGATGGTTCGAATCGCTGTCAAGTACAGCTTTCTTGTGATAGAGAAACTTTTGAGCACAAAATGCAAGCAGCAAAACCTCAAAAGATTCCGCCAATCCCTTTTGCTCTCACAAGATGAGTAATACAGACGAATCTAGTCGTTATTCAGAGATATATCCTGTCGTTCATTCGGGAACGCTGGTGCCCATCGTTCTCTTTGCAACTTGGAACGCCCGCATACAGCGTTCGTCTGGTCGTTCCTTTAACCTGATTGGTTCGGTCGGCATAGCTATTATTCCATGAAGTACATTATACCTCTCTTGGTTGGGTTGTAACATACCTATACATATTAGAGTTAGTGTTATAAAAATTATTAATGAAAATAAAATAAAAATAAATTAGTTTCTTTATCAGGCTGAAGAAAACTAATTATGCTCGTTTTTCGTTAATGAAACGAAATTAATCGTAGTATTTAACGAAACGAAAGACGAAAGATTACTGATTAATTTTACAACCCTGGTTGTATTACTGTATATTGGATGTAAATAAATTTGCGGCCTTCCTTACTATTTCTGCATAAAAGACAAGAAAATAGTAGCACATAGTCATGAAGGAAGAGTACAACTTAACGAAGCCTTGACCTGAAAATGGACAGATATACGGACGGCTTGAGGGCTGAAGTATACGCAAGGTAAGTTATCTTTGCTATTTCTTCTGTTTGCTTTCGAATACAGAAGTCCATCTCCATTTAATGCAAAACGCTTTATGATTATGTAAACAAAAGTCAATTTTAACATTAGCAACTAACAAATTATAAACTGTGCTGCAATCTAGTAAACAATCTACTTATTCAAACGACCAGGGTATAACTAAACCAATGGGTTAGACCAAATTTAGACCTATTTTTATGGCAGCTTCCCAGTCTGGCTTTGGCACAATAATCTCTTACCCTGTTTTTGCCGCTCCGTCCATTAAGCTCTTTACCTTACTTTCCAAGGCTTCAAATCTTTCATTATCCTTTTCACGGTTTTGATTCATATTGCTCATAGTGGTGATCAGAGTCCCCATCATTGTACGTAATTCTGCAATTTCGGTATTTACGGCTTTGGATTCGCTGCGACTGACTCTGGTGAGGGCTGCAATCTCTTCACTATTTTGTTTCGTAACGGTGGTCAGATTCGCCATCATTGTACGTAATTCTGCCATTCCGGTGTCTACGGCTTTGGGTTCGCTACGACTGACATCCGTGACTCCGGTGAGGGTGGCTTGATCTGTCTTATACGCTTCTACGCATTCCCATGGCGGCTTGATGTTGTCTCTTTTGCAAACCCTTTCAATGTCGGTTTTCGCATCTGCTTTCGAACGAATTTGCTCAAATTTCGAAAATGTAAGGATGCAGATGCAGCCTTCTGCCCCGAATCGACCCCCGCTGAATTGCACGCAGCAATCAGCAGCAGGACTGGTTAGTCTTTTGGAAGGGTCTCGAAACGTTTTTTTAGATCTCGTTATCCAGAGCAGCTCTTTCAAGCATTTTCTGTCGGTAGTGAAGAAATTTGTCAGCCTCGTTGGTATATTTAGGTGTTTCTCGTTTTCCCTATATTTTCTGACGTCTCTATCCCCAACTTCCATAGCTGGCTTAAGTTCTCGGATCCATACACCATTCTCTTCAAATTCCACTAGGACTTGATACCTATCAATCCCCTTTCTACGTATGCCAATAATGCGTTCTCCTCTTTCCGTAAGGGCGGTGTGCCAATCATAGGGTATTCCTGAGGATGCGTCCTTTGAGGATGTAAATGCGTGCAATGTAGATAGATTCCATTCTTCTGGTAGATGGTGCGTTTTGATATATCTTTCAATCTCGCCACTTATCTTGGTCCTAGTTTCTATTGCCTGTGTATTCGTAGCATTAGACTTGAGGCTTACCATTGCGTCTATGCCCTCTTTATAAAGAGATATTAAGAAATCTACATCAATGACCCATTGGTCATTAGAAATCTGAGAGTCGTTTTTTATATCGACCTCGTTGCCACTTTCAATTTCTTTATTAAGGCCCATTAGCTCCTCTTGTGCTTTTGAGTCGCTGGGGTCTATCTTAAGTTGAGTAACAAGAGGTGTCGCCTTCTCATAAACTTTTTTAACTCGAGCAGTTGGTACGGGGATCTCGACCTCGTCATCTTCCATCAAATCGCCAATTGGATTACCATCCCAATTTACTACGGCTTCGATGTTGCTTTCGTCTACGCCTGATTGTTCGGCCGCTTTCTTTAGTTCTGTTAACATTGTTAATATAGATGAATAATTAAGTTTAGAAGTCTACTTGCTTTGGAAAGCTTCTTCCACTTTGGGAATTTTACAATACTCTGGATGCAAGGCACATCCTAGTGCAAACCATTCGTTCGTTACATCTATCTTAGTTGCACCCGGCTTTACATCTATGATCTTGTGGTAATCGTCCTTATCACAAGCTAAAATATGGCTGATATAATCAGTTAGAAGAAGTTCAAAATTTGGTCGTGCTTCAATCTGCTCGAATTCTTCTTTCGCTTGATCCATTACACGTTTCGCAGCTTCAAGCTTTTCAGTTGCCTCTTTTACCTGATCATCGGCTGTCTTTTTTTCCTCGCTGGTAGCTGCATCTGATTGTGTTTTAATTGCATCATCTAAATTTTTGGTTGCTTCTGCTAAATCAGCTTCAGCTTTCTCTTTTGTAATTCGAGCATTGTTGGCGTCAGCTCTTGTTTCTTCGACTTCTGGCGTGGAGTCCGGGGATATTAGACCCCTTTGACGAGAAACTGCACCACGAGAAGCAGCTTTTAAGATTGAGTTGTTATTTTTTTGAATCACTTTATTAACTTTCTTTAAAGCTGGCTTTTCTTTTCTCTCTTTTGTTGGTTGATTAACTACAGGCATAATGATAGACTTGAGATTGCTGATAATGATGAGCTTTTTCAGTGGGAGCTTATCCAGTTTAAATAGTGCGGCCTGGTCACATAATCTGGTGAACTAAGTGGGTTTGGCGACTATCAATTATTTCGAGCTATATTGTTTAATACAAAAAGGGGTCCTAGGATCCCTAATAGTCAATACCTAGTCCTAAGTTTAGTTTTGACAGCATTCGTCAAGTAGCGACTCTTCGTGTCCAATTATATACATTGTTATAAACACGGTGATCCTCTAAGACAACCTTCTGTAAAGTCCAGAAGACGACAAAAAAATAACTCAGTAAGTTTAAATGCGACTAATTAGACACGAGCTGACAAATAGCGGTCCATGTGGTATGTATACACAAGATTACAGTACATAATGTAATTCGGCGATGCATACTCTTTAATATTACTTTCAGTGCATAAGTTCATACAGTCAAAGGCAAAATTGGTGTTGTAAATTAACTAGATGAAGATTATATACAGTGAAAGGCGGAATTAGTGTCGCCCTTTGGTAAGTTAATTAACTTAGTAACGGGTGCAGCAAAAGTGGCTCCTTGCTATCTATTGTACAGCCAGGTACTGGCGCCGCGGGGCCTGGCAGCGGCCAGTACTGGCTGTAAGACCCACTGTAGCCTGATTCAGCAAGAATCGGCTCTTTGTTATTTTAAGAGAGGTACAGTACATTGAGGTACATGTTAAATGCTGCCTGGTGGCCTCTTGTAAAATAATCAACTAAAAATCTTTAGGGACACTAATTCCGCCTTTCACTGTATACAGTACTGTATTAAACTATAATTTAATTAAAATAGACTCTTTTTATAGGATATTAAGCTATAATTTAATTAAAATAGACCTTTTTTATAATCTTTTAGTTAATTCGCAATACCTATTTTACCTTTGAGTATATTAATTAATATTTTAAATACTTTTAATATTAATACTTTAGCAATATAATACCCGGGCGCTGTACTAAATCAGCTATAGTTGCATTAAATGCTGGCTTATTATAATTAAGTATAGATTCGCTACAGTAAAAGGCGAAATGTATGTCGCAAATCTATAATTATAATAAGCCAGCATTCAATGCAACTGTAGCTGGTTTAGTGCAGCGCTAGGGAGCGCCCGGGCATTGTATTGCCAAAGTACTAGAAGTACCTAGAACATTAACCAACAGAGCTAAACAGAAATGTATCTATTAATAAAAGTCTAAAAAGTAAATTTTTTTTTCCACTAGTTATTATTTTGCGGATTGTACTAGTACTTATAAAGTACAAAAACGACAGGGGTATTAAGCCACAATCCAATTAAAATGGACCCTTTTTATAATCTTTATCTAGTTAATTCGCGACACCCATTTCGCCTTTGACTGTACACTCATTTCGCCTTTTACTGTACAGTATGACGCCCCTACTCAAAAATACCTTTCTCTCCACTAAGACTCTTTTGTAAACTTTCTAGCGCTTGTGCGGCTAAAAATGGATGCATTTCTCCATATATTTAACCATAGTCTAAAAGACACGGGTGGAATTATGGGTCTCAGAAAGGACATGAAGGTACGTATATAAGACCGCCCCGAAATAAAATATCAGTAATTCCTGACATTTATGTATAGAAGATGCAGTAGGGAATTTACAAAGACATCTTCATTGACCTCTTTTGCACAGAATAATAACTATTCGTTAATTTGCTACCTTTGAAATCCTTTTCGTTATCCGTTCAAGTTTTAAGCCATGAGTATTCAGTATTTCAGGACAGTAAATCGTCGTATTGAAGAAGAGAGGCGGACGAAGTATTGCGGGACCGCAAGTTTACGATTAGCGTCTCTACGATATCAAGATCAAGAGTATAAGCATAATGTTGACCCCAAGATCAAGAAGGCTCATGTGGATAGCATTACGAGAATGTTTGATCAAGAGCATGGCTGTCGTAAAGAAGACGAACGCCATCATGTAAAAGCTCTTATTAGCCAGCAAGAACTTGAAGCGGCAATACTTCGTGCCTCGATTACAATCGAAAGGCTCAAAGCAGATGTTGTACCGTACCCAGAGCTAGAGTTTCCAATTCATGTTAAGATAGAGTGCCTTGAGGGTCATGATCTGCTTGTAGCAGCTGACAAAAAACTTCAAGGGCCGAATAAAAGATGGATAGTTGACCTCTATCTGGATGGTACGTTAAGCTTAAGACTCCGAGGTTGTTGCTAATTTGATCCAGATCTAAGTGACGAGTTGCGGGTTTCACTCGCTGACGGCTATGACTACCAGAAGAAACCTGATAGCGGAGAGCTTTACATAAAAATTAGACAGTTCCAAGGTTTTTATGGCGAGTCGAATCCTTTTTTTGAGAAAATGTGGCTAGGTCGACTTGCAACGAATCTCAACAGCTGGAATCTATTTAAAAGGCTCTCAAAAAATAGAAAATTTAGCGCAGCATTTGATGCGCTCCTAGACGTTCCGAGTTTATTTGGCGGATTCAGATTAAGCGTCATGCACCAATTACTCGGAATGAAATGCGATGAAGTATTAAATCCAGATCAGATCAACGTTAATCCAATTGCTAATAGCTATATAGCCAAATCTTGTCTACTTAAGACACATATATACATGGTGGAATAATGTCTGTGATGGTGATAAAGAAGTAATGCGTCAGATCACAAAAAAAACAATAGGGGCTCTCCAAGGCATGGCGCCTGGAGCTTCTTCAACGGACCGCGCCCTGCTCCAAGCGCAACTAAGGAGTGGCAGCATATTTGAGAATTTTTCTGTTTCACAACGCGAAGAGCTCTGGCAGAGAGCTTGCAGCGCCTCACAACAGTGCCTTATTCCATCTCTATTCACCTTTTTTGAGGATCGAAAGTTTCTTAATGATGCTGCCGGATGTATAATGAAGATTCTTGATGTAAACGAAAATAGTACAATAATTAGCTCTCTAGAAGAAATTTTCAGCGATACAAACCAAGAAGAAGGCAAATGCGTCATTCAGCTGTCTGAGACAGAATTTGGAACTATCGCAGGTGACAGTAATAGACGCCTAGATCTCGGAATTCGGCAGTTATGGCTAGCAGCTTTCCGTAACTACCGGGAATTACCAGCAGGAACGCAAAAGAGCGACGTATTAGCTCTTTCCAGAACAAAGTCAGACGAAACTACGTTGAATGAGCTTGCTCATCTCGCTTCGCGTCTTGGATTCGAATCGGACAAGCTCTGTGAAATAATACAGACTTGTCCAGATCGAAAAATTGCTGAACATGCACTTCTCACTGCTCGTAAACCTGGGCGATTTGAATTCCATGATCTGGAGAGTTGCATACAGCAAATAGTAGCCGCTTTTAATGCTGCTGATCAAGTGCGTACCAGTGAAACCACTGGTGAAGCGATGGAAGTGATGAGAGAAATCGACAAGCCTCCCAATCGATGCGGCCGACCACATGATATAGATTATCAATATGATAGAACACAGCTCTTCTTACCGCTGATGCCGAGTTATTTAAATACAGACATGGGTGAAATAACATCAACATTTATTCGTTGGTCCGTTTACTGCGCATATTTTGGACCTCCTCCTATCATTGAAAATATTTCTCCCAGTAGAGATTTGGTAAGGAATACTATAGTATTAGAAGAGGATGGGTGTTTTGACTACGAATATATTGAATTTTCAAATGAAAATAGCAGTATAGAAGTGCCGACAGGCGAGGGGAGCGAAACTTTTGTTACCGCAAGCCACGAACTTCAGCCAGGTCAAACAAAATTAAGTGAAAGTAAACTGAGCGCCAATGAATTGCAACGACAAATGCCCATCAAAGAGAGAGTTTTTGATGAAATCGTTCAAGATATCGAAGAAAAGACAAAAGAGCGCGATAACCTACAACAAGAGTTAGACATAGAACACCAAAGATTAAGAGAGGCAGAGCAGAAAAAACAAGAATTAAATTTACACATAATGAAATTACAGGATGTTTCAACTAAAGAACAACTAAGTCTTGACGAAATTACCCGACATGTTGAAGAAAAGAGTAAGGAGCGCTATGAATTACAGCAAGAGTTGAAAAATGAACAAACCATCTTAAGTAAGATAAAACAGGAGAGACAACAGATAACTGCATTTATATCGAAAATACAACAAGATTCGGTTATTAAGGAGCATAGTCTTGAAGACATGCCTCAAGAGGTAGAAAAAATGATTAAAGAAGACAAAATTCTTCAGACACCCGTAGGCGGTTATAGAAAGTCAAATAAAAGGATGAAAATAAAAAAAGTAAATCTTAAGAAACTTCGACGACTACCACAAGCTAAAAGAAAGGAATTACCAAAGGTTGGTAAAGAAATAGAAAGTAAAGAGGCGGAGCTTGCAAATATTCAGCACGCTTTAACTATAGCGAAACAAGATTTGCAGAGCATATATGAGCAAATAGAGAAGGAACAAGGATATCTTAAAGGCATTCGGGAGGATTTAACTACAGAATGCATGCAACACGCTAATGAAATAACAGCACAAAGAAAAGCAGAGCTTGAAAGACATCGAGAGGAGATATCCACGACCCAAGAATTACTTAAAAAGGCTAATAATGAGCTACAGCAAATTAACAGTGAAATACAAAAGCAAAGTACCGAACTTGAACGGGTCAAAAACAGTTATACTATACAGGAGGCAAATCTACAACGAATTAATAATGAGTTACAAGAGAAAATCTTAGAGCTTGAACAAAATAAAAATAATTATAATAAACAGGAAAAAATTCTACGGGAAATTAACGAAAATATCCAAAACAAACAAGCAGAGCTTAGAAAAATTGAGGATGATTCTAAAAAAGAAAAAATTATCATACGAGAAACTAATGACAACGGTCAAAAGAAACAATTAGATTTTGGAGAAATAGAGGGATTTTTAGGGGCAGAACAGGAGTTACTCCGGGTAGCAGACACAGGTGACCAGTGGCAATATGAAATGGACAATAACATGCACAATCTAGAAGACCAAATCTCTTTCGAAGAGCAGGAACATCCTCAAAAAAAATTTCAAACGTATGGCAAAGGTTTGAGGAAACGAGCTCAGCTTGGGCCAAAGAAGAAGAATCAAGAAACAGAGGAGAAAAAAGAACAAGCAAAATCATCTCAAATATCAGACGATAAAGAAATAGAGGCTATCCAGTTATCTGATTCCTCATCTAAAAATAAGGCTACACCAAGGATGAGCGAAGGAAATTTAAGTGCTTTTCCGGAAGGACAGGGATTGCATGAAACTAATCAAGAATTAATGGAAAAAAATAAACAGCTCATGAAACTACAAGAAAACATAGTATCAAAGCAACAAATCGTACACGAGCTTGACAGAAAGCTTGAGAAACTACAGCAAGATATAGTCGATAGAGAGGGGAATGTTAATGAATTAATTGGGCAATTGCAAGAGAAGGATTTAGAATTAAGAAAACTGCAGCGGGAGGTAGTCAAGGAACAAGCGAAGCTGGACCAGCCGCAGACAACGGTGCCGCAACGATCACATCGAAGCTTAGTACTCACATATTCTCAACTCATGAGGCACGATCCAAATAACAAAGGAAAAGTACGCGTTGACTTTGTCAATCATGTGTCCAATCATTTATACAATTCAGAGAGCATGTTTGTTATCTCGGATACTCTGGTAGTAGATCCATCAAATCCAGAAGAAGTAACAAATGTAGCTAGGAGGTATGTGAGAAAAAGCTTCACGTTAGGCAAGAGAGATATGACAGCAATAACTCCTGAGAATTGTTTTGAAGAAGTGGCAAAAGACGGCAGCTACATTATTGTTCTTATATACAAGGATCAGGAAGATGATGAACCTACGGAGGTGTTGCCTAGGATCCGCAAAGAGAAAGAAAGAGACATGAACGAAGACAAAGATGGGCGCAAAAAGAAAAAATTCAAGCATAGTACCGGGAGCGACCTTGAACAGGGAAACAATAGCCCGATCTAGCTACGTGGATCACATAGATTTTACATATATCAGAGGCCCTGGCTCCCGACTTCTCAACTAGATAAAATAATACCTTGAAATATAATAACTTTACTATTTCACATTTCAACAAGCGGCTTGTCTAATACAGCTCCAATCCCTTGAACCAGCACTGAATCATGCTGTTTGTTTGTTTGTTTTATTATTAACGTCCACTAAGTAAGCTAGCACTGAATCATGCATTTTCCAGGTATACTTTTGATTAATCGAATATCCGACTCTGAGCTAGTGTAGCGAGAGACTATGAGATTTTCAGCGTCACCAAGGGACCTGAACTTAGCTATCGGTGTATACTTTATGATTGCACAGACGGGATGAACAAGAATCGGCTCTTTGTCCTTTGTTAGGTTATTTTAGAGAGGTACATAGAGGTACATGTTAAGTATTGCCTGTTATAGTATTTAAGCGCTGTAATTTAGTGCATAAACATAATAGCTGAGTGCTTTAAGTTTCAGTACTTTCGTCTTACACGCTAGATACAGAATACGCCTGCTTGGATACCGGATAGACCCTCCCTATTTTTTCCATAATAGCGATCCATGTTAAGTTTTACAGACAATTTGCTACAGGGAAAGCGCAAGCTATATATATAATCGAATGACAGTATATTATCCACTTATTAACAGGTAACTAGGGACGGATGAGAAAGCATTGTGGGAGTGATTAGAGGCTTAGTAAGGTAAATACTCTTGGATAATGAGGGATGAAGATTTGAGATATTTAGATTGTTGAATTGGCCAGGCTAGATCCTTAAGCAACTTTTTCAGGCGATCCATTCATTCAACCGCTCTCCACACATTGGGCAAAAATATTTTGTATCGTAAAACCACCGCAGTGCGCACATCAGATGGAGTGTATGCTCGCATTTTAGCTCGATACATTTATATTCATCATCCTCCGTATCTGTAATTGTACACTCCTTGAGACAAATGCTACAACATTGTGCAGCCTTATTGATTGATCTGAGTACTCTCGCATCTCCAATCCGAAGCAGCACCTTCCAGAATGGTCTCGTAACGTCAAGTAGGAGCTGATTCGTTTCCTTCTTCAGTACATCATCCGCATAATGAAAACGCATACGGAGATACACCGACGCCGACAGAGGGTTGTGCTCCTGGCAGTAGGATCTAGCAATGCGACATAGTGTTTTGACGACTAGAATTTCATCCACGAACTTGTTTGGTTGGTTGTAAAGTTGGAGAACATCCGATATTAGCTCTTCACGCTCATCAAGAAAAGTCGCATTTGGTATTTTTAACAAAGTTTGCATCCGATTTGAACGGATGCAAAAGCATAAAGCTTGTTGTTCCCCACACAGCTGTGTCGAGGGAAAAAAGGCAAGGGCCTTGTTGTACGAGTCGAGGGCTTTAAGGTAGTCTCCTGCGGCATAGTCCATGTTACCTTGCTTCTTGAAGCTTTCAGGGCCGCCCTCAATGACCGGGTCGTCCATTTTGGTGTTTTTGTTGTAAATATTAAAGTAAAAGTAATAGTAAAGTAATTATATTAAAAAGTCCCAACTGTCTAGTCAAAAAATTGAGAGGCAGCATCTCTTATATACGTAAAATCAATTTGGCTTACGTAGCTGCATTAGACTCGTGTTTTTGATAACTGTATGCCTTTCCATCCAAGAGTATTTTACCTTACTAGCCCTCTGATGCTCCCACCTGACTTTTCTTCAATCCACCCCTGGATTATACTAAACCTCTCTAAACCCTCCTCCATTATTCACCCCTGGCTACTAAATGTTATTAATTTCCTTCTCCAAAAGGGTTAGGGTTAGTCAATTATTCGGGAAGTAAAGAGCAGAAAGCATTGATCTCTATCGCGATATTTAAGTGCTTGCACTGGCGGTATAACCGGATATCTTGATAGAACGACAAAAATTAAATCAGAAATTGACGGATCTTTAAAATCTAATCCATATTTAAAGTCGAGAATATTGATAATGATAATGATTGGAGTAGTATAGGAAATAATAATAGTAAGTAGTATTTGGAACTTTATAGTTTCTTGCTTTATTTATGACAATGATATTCCGTCGCTTAAATTAAAAATGTCTGTTAGGCATGTAAATATTCAAGGACTGAGGCATATAAGTCTCAATGTCTAATAATTAACCATTCTCCAAATCAATCTACGCCTCTCCTACTATAATTGAATAATCCTTGCTTCGCCGCAAGTTTTAAGGAGATGAAGAGAGAACAGTTAGACTTACAGGGGAGAGCGATATACAGAGTGGCTTAATATGAGAATCAAACTGCAGAAGATGATTCAATATATACTTAAGAAATTAAGTATATCGAGTTTACAAATTAAAACAAGAAATAGGATTACAATGCCAAACTTAAGTACATTTATAAGATTAGGCCAGACGTCCATGCCATCTGTATCTTTGTATTTAAAATGTTATTATGCATTTGCATGCTTGACAGTTATGAAGAAACAGCTCTCACTTACAGTCAAGAGGCATATTACTATGTCGGATGACAGTAATTGCAGAATCATCAGATTGGTAATCCTCTTCTGCTAGAAACATTATCTTCCCTTTGAGGTAGGTATTAAGGATAATCGTGAGGAATCAAGATTAAAGATGGAAGACAAATATTAAAGATGGAAAGAGAAATATTTCAGGTATAAAGAAGCATTGTTTACATTATTATATCACAATTTTCAACCTGGGCAAGAGCGGCAAAGAAAATATTCAAGTCTGGGCCAGCTGAAGACCAATAAGCGGAAGATTTCTACACAGAAACAAGTTTGTACTCAGTATCTCTTTACTAACTAGACAAGGTAGTAACTAATACTATATTATAATGTGAGATAATGGTTCGTGATACTCTAATTCCGAGAAAGAATGGGTACTCTTTATAATCTTTCGTCACAAGACGAAATGGGCGTGTTCTCTAGCGGCATTGGCATTCTCTCTTGTCTTGCATGCAGTTTGATATTCCATAGCGATGTTGCCCAATGTACTGCCCTCTCCCAATTGTAGTATGGAAGTTGAAATATAGACCAAGGCCTGAGCATTGCTGGTTCATTTGTCATCAAAGATGCTTGTCACCCGAAAGCTCGCTTACCACAGTCTGCACTATGCTGCAGCACGGCAAATGGGTACGGTAGAAAGGAAGCGCGCCTCTGTTGCCTGAAGGTCTGACCATCCTCCCTGGGGAGCGACGTGGCAGTATGGCCCACATAATTGGAATCCTATGCCCCACTTTGACGTCACTTTTGGGTGCATTTTCTGAAAATGCACCCAAAAGTGACGTCAAAGTGGGGCATAATTCAAGACTGTACTCTAGTGCGTGACGTGGCGACTTGGATCTTTTGATGGAAAAATACGAGGGATATGTCCCAGAGGTCTTGCTCTCTATCACGTGAGGAAAATAACGAGGCCATTGATGAAGGCTGATTGCTATACATTCTCTTAGCTTCCCGTACCGCCGTTTACCTTTTATAAATCTCAAAAAACTACCTAGGAACTAGGCCAACCATCCCCACCAAAACGATTCACCTTCTTTGCCTTGTCGTCGTTACACTGTCTGCCACAATGGCGCTTGAGATGGCTATTGACTCAATGACTATTCGCGACATTATACGAATTCTCAAAGGCTTTAACCCACAGGATAAATTCCAGACTGTCTTGAATACATGTAACGATGATTCTTTTGACCATATCTGCAATGTAATATTACGTGCTATATTTCGCTGCGCATCCCAATCAAAAACCACATCACATAACGAAAATCTACCAAGGACATATAGGATACAGCAAATTGCTCGAGAAGGTATATCCGTATATCCCAAAGAAACACCTTCAACTCCAGAACACGGCTAAACTTTAGAAACCTCTTTATCATCAGAGCACATCATACCGGAAGAGCACACCAAAATACAAGACACAACTTTAGAAAACTCTTTATCACCAGACCGAAGTATAACGCAAGAGCATACTGAAACACAGGACCAAGACACAACTTTGGAAAACTCTTTATCACCAGACCGAAGTGTGACGCACGAGCACACTGAAATACAGGGCCAAGACACAACCTCTTCATCACCAGACCGGGCCACGGAATGTACCTCAATTCTAAACAATACTTTAAGCGAAGAGCAGTGTTCACTCCCAGAAAATTCTTCTGCTGCAACGGCCTCGGATAGTGCCATAGAGCTCTCAGATATATTAGACGATGAGAATATCGCATCACCAAATGAAATATCTGCCGATCAAACAACCGCTGAAGGTCAGAAGTCAAAACAAAAACTTCCACCAAATTATCCGACCTTGACGACATCCGTAACTGCCTCTCGAGAATTTCCTGGATGGTCTCGCGAACCAAAAAAATTCTGGGCACAGTCAAAAAATGCTCCGAGCTTTAAAGGACAAAATACCAGCGCAAGGTGCAAGGTTTTTGTTCAGCATGCTATAAATAGTATAGATGATACCATCATTATTCAGACCCTCCAAGATAGATTTACTTCTATTTTGGTGTATCAGAGCTACCGCAAGCTGATGGGGGGGGGAAATATCACATCAAACAATATTCTGCAGTATCTTCAGCGCCTTGGTATACCAGCCCATTTTGCGCCAGATTGTTCGCGGCTCGTTTTTAGTGGAAAAAGACGAGAAAAGTTCTGCCATGACATTGATCCTGATAGACATGAGATTGATTATAGCTCTCAACTGATACCAGATCTTAAGGATAAATTGTAAGACTTAACTCTTAAGACGTTAATATCAAGACTAATGCTTTACTAGATTTACACACAATAAAGATTCACGCATGGCAACGAAATGCGCAAAGACAGTTACTACATTTAAGGATCAAAAAGATACCTTATTATGGTTGGCGAGCTCTAAAGCCCAGTCAGCAGCAAAAGCAATCCTCAGCTATGGCCAAAAACTTCTAGGTCTTGAGGAACATGCCCACACTGGATACGATAGACCTAATGGTCAAAAAAGACGAATCGAGCTTGAAGAAGAGACTGGATCATTCAAACGTATACGCACAAGTGTAACTCGTTCTCCGGCCGGATTTCAAAATAGCTCACCAAATACACACCAAAATGCAACTATCTCTCAGCGAAGACTACACGATGAATCACCAAATATAACCGCAAATCCTGCTGTATTTCAGGTAGGGCGGGATAGCCCATTAGATTCACAAAGTAATGGGCAAGGTCTGGAAACTTTAGCACAAGTGGCATTGACAAATATACCAAGCGAAGAAGCTACAAACTTCATATCAAACGAAGGTACAATCCACTCCGAAAGTGCGTCTTATCGAGAAAATGCCCCATCTGACCAGAATCGCCCCAATTTGCGTACAGAGATAAATAATCTTGCTCCTTCTCAGCCAAATGATAATCCACCTTCAGAGACAAATGATGATATTCAGCGCTTATCAAGCTACCAAGATAATACTGCAACTGGAGACTTTCATGAGCAGTGCCACGCAAGCTGGCAAGCAAGGACGGTGGAAGAGAATGACGATGGTGTATACAATTCCGAAATTAACTGGGAGTCCATTTTTACAACAGTAGATAATATTGATTGGGGTACAGGTACAATTGAGTAGATATAAGATTAACGTTTACAACTTTTACTTCATTAATGTAGCTAAATACTATGACTTTTCAGAATTTTTTTTTTTCCTTTTTCGGACTAGAGTAATCTTAAAACTACGCCAGGTAATATATAAGAAATAAAAAGTTACTAATATTAATCAAGGTAGAATTTATATCTTTTAAGAGCGTGGCCAATCAATGCATGAGAAAATCATGGGTATATCTAGGTACCCATAGTTAAAGGCATTGCATGGTTGAAGGCATTGCAAGGCTAAGGCGCTGTAAGGCTGAAGGTATCGCAAGGTTAAAGGCGCTGTAGGGCGCTGTAAGGCACTGTATAGTTGAAGGGTTGAAGGCTTTGTAAAGTCAAGAGATATTTTGCGCTATTCTATTAATAATATAGCTTAAAGAAAAAGATACATAAAACCTATAGATATATATATAGAGGCCATTGTACCTCCTCACTTTAACGCATCTATTCTAAAAAACTTAGCCTAAATAGGCTTAAAGGGCAGTGGCTCTATCCCGAGGAGGGCAGTGTCGGAATTGGTGGCCCTAAGTAGTGAAAGAATGTTGCTTTGCTGACAAAGAAAGCACAAAAATTCTGCCTTAATACACTCAAGGAGATACAGAGCAAATGCTAGCGCCTCATTAAATTCCTATAAAAGAGTCAGGTGATAATATTACTAAGCTTAGGCATCAGCCCCATTAAGTCCTTGAAAAATAAATATAGCTCACACATCCCCCTTCTCCAGCATACAATTATAATACTACCTCAAACTTGAAACATCCCGTTATTATAATGGCCAACATTACAAACACTAGGATTCATAAAGAAGAGCTTAGTGTCCCGGAAAATAAGGTTGTAAACTCTGCACGTTCCTGGTTGGAAACACATCCAGAGGCGAAGTGGGAGCAAGAAAATTCCGGCACTATTTATAAATGCGAGGATGTTAATTTAAAAAAAATTATAATACCGCCTTTAGCCGAAGAGGTAAATACCTCCTCTTAAATTTGCTATTTCATTTATTTATATTTTATAGGGCAATATCTATGGTTTTGGGGTACTAAAAATGGACCCGTCAACAGCGCCTATAGATTATGCAGGGGATTTATTACCATTATTGCCAAGCGATGGCTGTAGTATTATTGGTGATGATAATACTTCTTATGGACTAGAGTTTGGGAAAAAGTTATGTATACCACAACCAGGCCGACGTAAGCTTCGTGTTGAAAAGGGATATGTTTTATATTTATTATGGATTTTACGGACTAGAGGTGATCAACGAGTTCAACAACAAAATGCCTAGGCCATTAGGAACACAAATGATAGGATAGCTTTATAGATAACTATAGATTTTATTTAGATATATCTTCAACTACGGTATCTGGTTTTTGATTGTATTTGACAGCGTTATTGCATATATAATAGCATTAAATAAAAAGGGCTACATGATCCATACAGCAAATGTTACATATATCGATATTATAAATCACGAAGCGTCTTAAGAGGTGTGGGTCTGTATTAGTTGCCCCTGTTTTCCATTTCCTTAAGTGAAATAGAGAAAAAACCAGCTGAATCTTTTCTTTAAGTACAGTGACTTCGCCCTTTTCGTAGTATAACTCGGCAGCTTCAGCAACAATTAGAAAGCATCAACGGTTATTATCAATATAATTTGCAGTTGACTAGCATTTAAAATGGTTGAATCTTGTTCCAAGCCTTTTAGTTTTAGACGTGGTGCCTATGATACAACAGGTCTCCCAAAACCGCCATCTCCGCAACCTCAATAGCGTCCAATCGCTTTCTATCGAAATGTACGTTTCTCACATATCGTTAATTACGTGATGATTTAACTTTACCATTAATGCTTGAATTTAGTTACTAAACTTATAAGAAAGGGGGCATTTTAAAAATATGTGTGTGTGTGTCCATATATATAGGATTAATAGGCAGAAAAAAAAAAGAAATGTAATATATCATAGTTATATACGGAGTATATACACTTATAAATTAAAAGTTTATATTCGCCCTGGTTGTTAAGACTAAAGATGAGTTATCATTTAATGAATATTCCAGAGAAGGAGTCTTTCCACTATTATTAAGCGCCCTGAGGAGTGTGGGTTATATTTTTATATAAATTAAGATCATCCATAATATCTTACAAGTACGGCGGTCTCGCTACCTTTTGGTATCTATTGAAGACTTTTTCTAATTTATTATTCTAAAAAGTCAATAAAAATGGAACTAAAGCTGCCGCAGCAAGCTATTACTCGTTACTTTCCCTATTATGCCCCAGAAATCGATAATAGGATTATCACAATATGCTGCACTTCCTGAGTACATATTGCGTATTGGGGCGATCTTATCGGGTGAAACTATCATCCCTGATATTGATGGTCAATCCGTCGAGCCGCAAATGAATTCGGAGCAGCCTTTTGTGTACATTTACTTTAATTTGGTCAAGGCAGTGTATTTTCATTTTCGCGGAATAACCTATCAAGCAAAAATTTGCTGCGAGAAAACGTTTATGGTGTAAATAACAGCCTTGAGAAATCCCCATTTGAACCTGATTTGGATATGGCGATTTGGAGTTATTGGCTGGTTCATAGGTAAGTTTCTCTTTAATTAGATAGCCTTCAGCTAATAAAGTATAGAATTCTGGAAAATCCCAACCCTGATTACGCCTTTAATATAACTAACCTTCGGGTGCCTGAGCCTCCCCTCATAGCTCCCCGAACCGTCGAGATACTGAAAATTGAACGAGATATTTCTTCAAACCAAGTTCAGACCGAATTCAACCGCCATGAGAACAAGTCCCGAAAAGAGGCTCTCATCCATCGATCTTGTCTTCTTTCTTTTAATATAAAAGAAGAAAGAATTAATATTCTGTCCGATGCTGAGATTAAATGTGCTTTTCAGTATGTTTCTGCGGCATCTCATCTCTCCACCAGTGATAGATTGCAAATATTTGGAAGTATGTTCAACTCCTTTCTACTTATAATACTTGTTAACTTTTAGTCAGGGAAGTCATATATCTCAGCGCACTTACGAAATCTTTTCTCGATCCAAAAGTTCAACAACTCGTCGACGGCCCTAAACTTTTCGGACTGCTGTCTAATGCAAGCACATTCAGTTTACGCTACAATGAGAAATACTATACAATGCTTTGTGACTCCCTTTCTAAAATGAAGAGTATGTTTAAATGGTTGTAAGTATTATCTAAATTTAAGCTACTGAGAAACGATGCTTACTGAAGCCTATATCAGTCAACTTCATAATGCTTTTGAAATGCGGCAGGAAAATACCACTGAACAGCACATTACTAAAGATTTTGTTGAGTTAAGAGCTCTGAATAACCATCCCCAAAAGCTTGCTGTACGCAATGCTGTACCTGTTATTGGAGAAGAAGGGCAGCAGAAACTTATTACTACACCTAAAAACAAGTATATGTGTGAATGGTGCAATGAGCCCTTTACTTTTCGTTCAAATTTAAAAAAACATCGCCAAAAGCATGCTCAAAACAAACCTAATCAGAGGATAGCTTATATCCCGGCTGCTGCACCTATTATTAAACAAGAAAGGAAGCGGAGAACTATTTCCTTATTTACAAAACATGAAGAGACGGTATATTTATATAATCCATAGCCCAAAAAGTACCTACAAAAGCTTTACACGCCTTAGAAATGTTTCAGAAGTTCGAAAAGATTGATTTTCTTTACACAATGTATCTAGTCGCGCCTTGCAGGAGGTAAACCAGATACCAATGCTCTTTTATATTAAACAAAGGCATACGCTAGTCAACGTGTCTTTATAGAATATATACTTACACATATATAAAAGCTCCTGTCCTTAACGACCATCCAACTTTAATTATACTGCAGCAAGATACTATAAATAAAGCCAAGATTTACATTTATTAACTTGCTACTTTACTCCCTAGGTACCTATGTCTCATTATTCATCTATGGTTCAAGGCTCTTAAGGCAGTGGATATATAACCACTGCAAATTTGTTTCATATCTATTTTACTATTCTTTTACTTATATCATGTATATAGTATGGTTGACCACCAGTTGTCCCTCCCGCCGCGGGTTCTAGCCAAAAGCCCCCATTTTGGTGATCCCGCACTCCACTGTTTACGATGATAGACGCGCCATGGACAACAAACACATCCTCAAATTTCACTTCTGTGCTCAACACCAAGAGGTAATTAGGGAAAAAAAACCATGCTCATGGATTTCGAACTTCGAAAGTTCTGCAGAGTCGATGGCGATTGAGCTTGTTACCAGAAAGAACTTGGGTGAGGCATCTATTTCTAACTTGAGCGTAAACATTTGTACATATTTATACTCCTATGTACTTGGTCAGTGTTCCAGGACAAAATGTATAATAAAGAAGAAGCTATATATGCACAGAACAATAGAACTACTGCCTAGATAGTTTAATTATATACAGTTTCTAGTTATGCTTCTGCTTTTTAGCTATTGGGTCGCCCTTTAGCTCTTTTTCAAGGGTTGAGGCTGTTACTCGCGCCTTACTTTTTGGCTCAAGCATTCTATGGACCAAACCTTGAACTTTGTCGCGTAGATTTAATTCCTTCCTCCTAGCAGTAATAGACTCTAGCCATTTCTCCATATTCTTGAATGACAGACTACCCGGTCGATTTAAGTCACGAAAGATTATCACTACATTTGGGTGATTAATCATTTTAAGCATCCATAGAGCTGTAACGCCTAGAGCCCAAATATCGCCAGGAGGCCCGCGCTCTTTCCCTGACTCAATAATTTCAGGCGGAAGATACCCAGGCGTTCCACCCGCTCCCTCGTAGCTAAATTCAGCTGATTTAGCTAAATCAAAGTCTATCAGTACAGCGCCTTGGTTAGGAGAATAGATAATATTTGCTGGTTTAATGTCGTAATGGACTATTTTCTCCTTTGATAAATATGCAAGGGCAGATGACATATCATGGAGTATTGTCTTTATCTCGGATGAAGTGAAATCGTCAATCTTGTCGAGCGATGGAAAGACAGGCCAGAGGTATAACGCGTGAAATCGACTATCAGAACCCTTAAGGGATATGATATTTGGCTATTTATATTAGTAAAGGATTTAAATATAAGTTGACCACTTACTTACGTGATGTAAACGATCCAGTAGTCTTTTCTCTCGTTTCCATCTGTCTTTAATAGAATGTAAATTCTGTTCATTATCATTGACGCAATAGATTTTAGCAACTACCTTGGTTTTTGAATATTGACAGGAAAAGACACTTGTCTTGGATGTAGTAGAGATCACTTCAATTCGTTGTAAATCATATTTATCCGCTGTCAACCCTCGGATATAAACCGTCTCTCCATCCGCAACGTCAAAAATAGAGGTATTAACTTTGCTTAAATCCGGTGGATTATATTGAATTTCTTGAGATTCTCTAGGGAATATGTTTGAGCCGTGAACAGTAGGAATCCCTTTATTGGCTGAGTAACGCTTCGCAAGAACTGAAATCTCAAAAAGGGGCCGATTTGGAGTTGCCGAGATCCTCCATGGGCCAGAACGTATATTTTTTCCCCTTCCAGGATAGATCTTTTCCTGTTCGCCAGGACTGGTCAAGTATATATTTAACCCTGAGCGATTATATAGGAGACAGTCCTCGCTAACTGGATTATAAATAATCTCGCAGCAAAATTCAAATGGTTCCATATGAGCGTCAAAATAGATATTTGCTTTTAGCATAAATTCAGCATGCTCAGTATCTTGAACGACCCCAAATATATCCTTAAAATGAGGTGTCTGCTTAGGGAGACGAAGAATAGTGTATGGTCCAATTATATCTTCGATGGGAATATGGCGTGATCTAACAACTAGTCGAGCTTCTTTCATGAANCTCGATGCATTGTTCATGGCGGTGGCTATTTCGTCTAACGGAGTGTTGTCTTTTGTGATGAGATATTCTCC